AAAAATGGTCCATAAAAACATAAATAAATTATTCAAATGACAATCTGCTGCTTAATAGCCAAACAATTCTCACCGATCGGGATTCATATTCGAGAGTACATTATAATTATTGGTAAATGCAAGGAAGATGATTTGAGTAAATTTCTGACAAAATATTAAGCGATACTTATCTGAGAGAAAAAGTAATGTTTACTTTTTAAGCTTAGTTATGTGCATGAAATGTTTGTACAAAATTTCCTGGAGGGTCTTTTGAGCAATCAAGTAGGAATCTCAAATAATATGTGCTAATATCTGAACACTACCATGTATAACATTTAAAATCAACAATAACCTTATCTAACATCATTGTACTTTAAAAGATATTTTTATTTACAATATATCTGCAATAAAATTAAATTAATTTTATGCTTTATTATAGCTTTTTAAGTTAGTTAATCTATGGGCAAGTAGATGACTAAATTCTGTCTTAAATACTTTATTTTGATATTTAACTGTGAATGATATATGAAATATTTTTTCATACCTTACAACCTTTCATTAAGTGCATATAAATAAATAAATAAATAAATAAATAAATAAATAAATAAATATTAAAAAAATAAATAATGAGCAAATGAACAATAAAACGCATTTTAGCTCAACGCAATAAATTTACATAGTAATATTAAGTTTACTATATTAAAAAATTTATACTTGTGAAAATATTAAAATTGTTTTGCCAAATCCTTTTGAAACAAATTGCTATATTTATACATATGTGTTTTAATCGCTACAACTGATATATTAAGCAAAAATATGAATAATACTTATTATATTTTTTATATAAAAAAATATATGTATATAAGTATTTTATGTCTATGTTTTCTGGAATAAACTTACGCATGCTTTGGCCGTTCAAGCCTGGCAGCCTTTTCTGCATCCTCTTCATCTTCTTCATCCTCTCCGTCTGTCATCTCTGCTGCAATATGCTTTTTATCGTAAGAAGAACCAATTTGTTGATCTCCAGGCCTTCTAGACAGAAGCAGGTTGGGTGGCATTTGATAAGTCACTGCTTGGTTAGTTTCGGGAAGCACCCACTCCGTTTGGCGACCATCTGATGCCGACGAAATGAGAGCACGTTCTGCCATGGCCCACTGATAAGGTCAGCACAAATCTTCGGATAGGCGGAAGACTAGATGTAGGATTCCTGGCTGCAGAAGAATTTCTACCAATATGGATATCTTTTAATAACCCGCTTGGTTCTCGGTTGGGTTTCCCGAAATCTGTTGGAAATATAAAGTAATTTACAAAAAATCCTCGATTACCACAAAAATGGACAGAGGCACAGGACCACCTTGAGAAGGGATGATAACATAAAGTAATTC